CCGCCGCCGCCGCTGCTGCTGCTGCGGGTGCGGCGTTCGCGCTGACCCTCGATCCCCGCGCAGGATGGGACCCTTCGCCGGCGCCCCACTTCTCTCGGGATGTCTTCGCCGTCTTCGGAGGCAACCGGAGCCTCTCGTCCGACCAGGTGAACCAGATGTTGCAGAAGCTGGGAGCGGCACATCGGCTGCCGGCCGGACCGCCGGACTCGCTGCGCTACAACCAGGTAATCATCCTCTCCCTCCCCCCCCAACCTTTCCCAACGTTGTACCCTTCACGTCGCCTTGGTGCGTGTCTCGGCGAGCGAACGAGGCTCCGAGGCTGCCTGGCGATCAGGTTTTCCCCGCCAACCTTGGCCAGAGATTTTTCTTTGGGACCCTCCCTGCTTAAATTTTTTTTTTGGGGGGGGCACAGAAATCCTGGGGTGCCTTCCCATTAAATGGACGCTGGTCCCATCCTCAGATTCCTAATGCTGAGCATCTATGGCAGGGGAAGCAACGAGGGGGTTGGAGGAAGAGAACAAGTTTTAATTTGGAACCAACTTTTGTGAACTGCAGCGCGTTTCCTGGACCGGAGCCAGCCACCGCTCACTAAAGCTCTTTCCAAACAACCCTTGTTGGTCTTGGCCCGCAAACAATTTGTTGTTTTGCTGCGAGAGACTGCCTCCTCCCCTCATGAGAACATCTGATCATAAAACCCTGTAGGGGATACGCAATATTTGACTTTTAGGATGCTTCCAGGTGAGGATTTTTAAACTGGGTGATCTGCTTTGCCTCAAACACACTTTGGACTAGTGTATTGTCTTCTGCACGCAACTGTCTTGTGTTTCCCCATTGCTTCTTGTGTGTTTTATTTTATGGGGGCGGGATCCGATTGAGAATGAAAAGACAGAATGCTTTCTTCACTGGCAGAACCAGGAGCCCTTTGCCTGAAGCACCTCCATAAAGTAAACTGTTGGTTAAATTCCCATATGTACTTCTGAAGCAGGAGGCCTCCTTATAGTGAGGTCCTTTGTTGATGGTCTTAGACTGGGTCTCTGATGGAGCAAATACTGGATTCCTAGCTCTCACAGCTTACTGATACCAGAGCAAGAGGTGTTGCCCCCACATCCACTTTTTAATATTTTCCCTGTTTCTATTACTGCTCTCCTCTCACTTTCTGGCTGCCATCTCAGTTGCTGAGGTTGGCTATCAGTCATAGCATGCATATTGTCATAGCATGGCTTTTCTCACATGTCTCTCGCTGTGTAGATTAGTGTTCTCTGTTAAAATCCAGCCACTCTCTGATGTTACTCACCCAAGAACAAATCCCTCTACTTAACCCACATTTCCACATGATCTTCCCTTCCACAGTGTATTGCAGTGCATTGTATTTGTCATTATGAATTATATGTTCAAGTTATGAGAGCTCGTGTTACCTAATAATCCAATGAATTACCTCTTAATTTTATTTTTATTTGGAGTCTGTGGGATGTGGAGGATTATTCTGTATGTCCACATTTCAGAAGCATGTATTCTGTTGAGCATCTCCTTAGAGATGCCTATTGGAAGGTATGTAGCACTTTTAACATTCCCTGTCTCAAATATATGATGTTCTTGGTCTCATTCTCTATTATATCCCCTATTGATTGCAATGGATGGGAATTACCCCAACTCTAAGGCTGGTGTAGTCTGAGTTAGGGATTGTTTTGGGTCATGAAGGGTTGTGGGATTCTGTGCATTGATAACCCCCTTCTAGTAGAACTTATAAAAGTTGCTCTCTTTTTTTTTGGACCTCAGCTCCTTTGAACTGTCATTGGGGACTGTCACTGTCACTTGGGTTTTAAGAAAACAGCAACAACAACCCCCCCCTCCTAAGTTTTCAAACATTTCTCTGATTGTGTGTATATAATGGTTTATCTCAGGGAAAACAAGATCACTCCCTGCGTTTGTTTTTAGAAAATACCCATATATCTTAAATGAGGCACTACCATTTAAGTGGTAGTGATCACTTAAAGGCCACCTAGTGATTGCCTAGAAGAGATCAGGGAATTTATTCAATGTATTAGTTAGATTTATATTTCACTTTCCCTTCAGTACGTTTAGGGCAATGCGCATGGCTCTCCTTACAACTGTGTGAAGGAGGCTGGGCAGGCTGACAGAGAGACAAGGTTATTCAGTGAATTTCGTGCATCGTTGGGAACCTTCCCTAGATGCTCATCAAATGCTGGCTACTGCACCACAATGGCTCTCTTGCCATATCCAGCTTCTACATACATGTTTTCTAAGACACTGTATTTTCTGCCTGAATAAAGTGGTGCATTGCATTGGTTGGTTAAAAATGTAGTCCTGTACAAACCTACTTGGGAGTGAGCCCCACTGCACTGAAGGGAATGTGATTAATAAACATACGTAGAGTCACAGAGCAAATGTTTTTAACTGGTTGATTTAACCAGTTAATTGTTTAAATGTTGCAGACTAGATTTTCACACATGGTGCTGAAAATGCTTTTGATCCCCTTTCATCAAGTCACTTCTGACTTACATTATAGCAACCCCTTTCAGAGTTTTCCAGGTAGAGAATACTAAGCAGTGATTTGCCATTTCCTTCTTCTGGGGGCATCTTGGGACAGTGCAGCTTGCCCAAGGCCACACAAGCTGGCTCTTCTTCCAGAAGGCACAGTGGGGAATTCAACTCCCAACCTCTGGCTCTGCAGCCAGATACCTAAACCTCTGAGCTATTTAGCCAGCTTGTTTGTGTTCACTAGCATCTATTAATTTGATAGCCAGTGTCAATTTTTTAAATTTAAATTACAGGACTATAGAAATCAAAAAGCATTTGAGCATCAAGGGCAGAAGAAGTCCTTCCCTCCTTATTTATTCCTGTGCTTAGGGCACACACTAAAAGTTACTTTATCACTCTCATATCATGCTTTGCAGCTCTGGAGTCCAGAGATATTTGATCAGGCACTGTGAGAAACTGATTCTTAGACTATACAGCTGTTCGTTATTATAGAGCAGCATCTCAGTGGCGCTGCGGGCTAAATCGCAGAAGCCTGTGCTGCAGGGTCAAAAGACCAAGCAGTTGTAAGATCGAATCCACGCGATAGAGTGAGCACCCGTCGCTTGTCCCAGCTCCCGCCAACCTAGCGGTTCGAAAGCATGCAAAAATGTGAGTAGATAAATAGGGACCATCTCGGTGGGAAGGTAACCGTGTTCCGTGTCTACGTCGCACTGGCCATGTGACCACGGAAGATTGTCTTTGGACAAACGCTGGCTCTATAGCTTGGAAACGGGGATGAGCACCGCCCCCTAGAGTCGAACACGACTGGACAACAATTGTCAAGGGGAACCTTTACCTTTACCTTTTTAGCATCTCAGTAGCAGCCATGATGCATTGTGTGCCTCTCATATTCAGGTGCCTAAAAAGGGTAGAATTTCACCAAATGACAACTATTTGAGTGTATATTAATGAATGAAATGCTCTGTATTACTTAAGTGCTGAATCAGATAGAGAATTTAGCAATATTATCATTAATGCTATTAACTACTGCTCCTAATTCTTCTATTTCTTTGTTATGTGCCTCGAATGGCTTCTAGTGACCCTAATACGGGTTTCAACATGCACTGGATGTTCAAAGAATGGTTTATTATTGCCACACACCTCCAGTGAATCTCCACGAATCATTAAGGATTTGAACCTGGGTTTCCTGAGTCCTTGTCTGACATGATCCATTGCTGCACATTGGCTCTCACTAATTTTGTACAGCATCAGTAACATGTTGACAGAATTTGGGGAAAATTACCTGTTAGAGTACAACTACTAGAATCCTCTAGCAATCATCCCACTGATTTCAAGCTCTTCATTAGAGCCCGGACATGACAAATAATCAAATGTTAAAGTTAATGGAAATAGAATAAAGAGAGATCATTATCTTGAGTTTCTTTGTAGATCCTCTGTGTAGACATGAGTTACATATAGATTATGATAGGTAGTTTATTCTAGAAGTGAAATACATGATACATTAGACGTATAGTGCCAGGCCAAAAGTTACTTTTTAAAATGTGCAAGTGAGGGCACAGGATCTGGAGCAGACCCACCAAGCATGGGTAGGAAAAGTTTAAATCCTCCTATCAGGCACTTTTCAAAATTATGTTCACATGCGCATAGGTAGAATTTTAGTGAAGATTTAGAGGGTGGGAATGGAGAGACTGAATTTAGGATTCTGTTCTGTTTTTTAAATACATCAGGCCTATACATGCTTGTTCATGAGTGAAGATGGAAATAAGTTCTAGCTGATTGTTCTGTATTTAACTTATTTGTGTGTTCTTTGGTGTTAAGTCAGGATCAATTTATAGCGATCCCAATAGGGCTTTCAAGGGAACAGAGGTATTTAAGAAGTGTTCTTACCAGTTCAATCCTCCATGAATCTCCATGACTGAATGAGGGTTCAGACTTGGGTCTTTTAAGGCCTACCTAGTCCATCATTCTATCCACTACACCATTCCATGACTGAATGAGGGTTCAAACTTAGGTCTTTTAAGGCCCAGTCCATCATTCTGTCCACTACACCACAATGGGTATCTCATGCATTTATCTTAGCATGCAGTATCACCCTGAGACTTGATCTTATGCTTTGTCTATGTACCACATTTCTGTCTGAACTGGATCAGTGACAATTCAGGAATGTTGGTGTATAGGGTGGAAATGAAAACCACAAAAAGTCCAGATTAAAAATATATGTCATGGCAAAGGATGTTTCTAGAAACATTAGACTGTTCAGGATGGAGATTGTAAGCAGCAAGTTGGAGGAAAATGAAGCACAAGAGGGGAAAACAGCAGCAGTGCAATTAGTATTTGAATATATGCAAAGTGAATACTGTGACTTTTTATAAAAGCAATGAATAGCTGATAATGAAATAGTTGTATTTTATATGTACAACATCAAGGATATCGTTTGATGCAACTGATGAAATGGAGTGTACTTGCAAGATGACAGTCTTTAGGGTTCCACAAGATGCCTAGTTGCTTATGCAGCAACACAGATTAAAAGGAGTGACTCAAGAAAAATAACAAAATGCAGCCTTCTTTTTTCTCCTCTGCAAATATGGTACATAAAATACAAACCCATAGCTGTCTATTCAAAAGTACAATTTGTTTAGTTTGGTGAAACTAACTCCCAGCTAAGTGGTTAGTGGATTAGAGCATTACACATCTAGAAATGTAAATTCAAACTGCCTGTGGGGAAGCAAACTAGACAAGCACCATTCAGTTTGCCCAGGGAAAAATACTCATTTTGTCTCAGATGCTTACACTCCAGAATCCACGTACTGGTGAAAAGATCCCAGTGAGGGAATACCTTTGGACTATGTTTTAAAAGGCTCATCTTTGTTCTTTCTGAGACATGTGACCCTGCAAAATTCAGTAGTGGCCAAACCATCCGAAGAAAGCCTTGTTTATATTGTGAAGGATGCAAAATCCCACTGACTAAGGCTTATAATGGGAAAGAATGTGTGCTGAAAGCAGCCATACTGCAAAAATATTCAGTGTATATGCAGATCCTTAGAAATGTATGGTACATTTGCTTTGAAACCTGTGTCCTGTTGATGAGGGCCTGGAAAGCAAGCCCTGTGAAGAAAGACTGAAAGAACTGGGCATGTTTAGCCTTGCGAAAAGAAGACTGAGGGGAGGTATGTTAGCACTCTTCAGATACTTGAATGGTAGTCATACAGAAAAAGGGCAGGGTCTGTACTCAGTCAGCCCAGAGTGTAGGACATGTAATAAGAAGCTTAAGCTACAGGAAGCTAGATTTTGGCTGAATATGAGGAAGAACTTCTTAACTGTTAGAGCAGCATGACAATGGAACTAAATTACCTCAGGAGGTGGTGAGCCCTCCAATGCCGGAGGCATTCAAGAGAGAATTGGACAACTATTTTTCAGATCTGTTTTGATTTTGATTCCTGCATCACCACCAAAACATGCTGTCAGAAGGGCACAAACCTGCCCATTTGTGTTGGTTGCTTGAAGGACACAATCCCACCTGATATGAAAATATTTACTACATTCAACTTCTCCTCCCTTGGCAGAAAGAAAGAGCAATAGGTGAGTTCCACGTGAAAACAGCATGGCTTGGCACTCTTAGGCCCAGGCATTCCTTTCTTTTCCTGTCTTCTCCACTCATATATCAGTCTCGCATGAGTCATGATTATCCAATGGAGTGTCAAAGCACAGAGTTGCTATTTACAGCTCTCTCCATATGAAAGACACCTGGATGGATGAAGCTGTGATTGCAAATATTGATTCTGTACAGTGTGAGCAGGCATCACCTGGATGGATGAAGCTGATATTGATTCTGTACAGTGTGAGCAGGCAACTCTGGCTCTCTAGTTCAGATCAGAGTGTGGGGAAGTTACTTTTTAGGCTATAGCTCCTAGAATCCCCCAGCCAAGAGGGCCAATGATGATCCTTGCTGGGGGATTTTGGGGATTGTAGTCCCAAAGGTAACTTTTCCAAACTCTAGTTGGACTATAACTCCCAGTGTCCACAGCATGGCCTATGTTGGCTAGTGCTGATGAGAGTTACAGTTCAAGAACATCTTCAGGGCATAGTTGCTCACACTTGTACAGCCTCAGTGCCTAGTTACACATTATGTACAAGGAACATTCCAGATGGACAGCTCCTGGAATTACCAGGCAAAAGACTTTGTGTTGCTATTCTGTCTTTCTCTCTTTAACAGATTTTCTCTGGTAATAAGAAACAGAGAAAAAGTAGAGCGAAAATATAAAGGGATATAAGGAGAAGATCTGTATGTGCTCTGCATGTTCACTCCTCAGCATTTTCCAATCACACCGTCTCTTTGCTACTCCTCCCAGCTGCTGTCTGTCTCATGGTAGGAAAGGTGCATGTTATTGCTATTTAGGGAGGACCTCTGCCATGGAAGAAGCAGCACCTTGGAACGAGTGGATTTTCAAGAAGAAAACTTCAAAGTGTTAATGCTTACGTATAAATAAGCAGCACCTTGGAATGAGTGGATTTTCAAGAAGAAAAGATGAAAAGCCTCTTTATCATTGTTTAAGAAAGAAAGAAAGAAAGAAAGAAAGAAAGAAAGAAAAGATACAAGAGAAAAGAAAGAAAGAATGGTTGCATTTTGATGAAAGAAAAGAAAAAGAAACTGAAACACAAATTTCCTCTAATCAGTTCAAAACATCTAAGACAATCAAATGCATTCTCTTGAATTTTAGCAAGGAAGGAAGGAAGGAAAAGAAAAGGAAAAAGGAAGAAGGCAGAGTGGAAGGAAAGAAGGAAACTGGAGGTGTCTTGAGAAGCATGAGAGATTAAGCCCCCTCTTCTCCCCATATTTGCTGATTATATTATTTAGAGAGTCCAACATGTTGATTCTTGCCAATAAAAGTGTATGTGGCTTGGGATTCAGATTCTAGAAGGATCACCTGCTCCCACATCAATCTGCATGTACATGGTGGTGAATGTAAAGATGCTCCTTTTCAGTTGGTTCTCTTATCAAATATAATGGTCATGCCCATGTATAACATGTATGTGTACATGGCTTAGAATTTTATATATATGTAATGACTCTTCAGATTGCAGGTTATTGCCTTTAATATTTCAAAAATGGAAACTTGGAGAATGTAAAGTGAACAGTGTAGACTTCTCCAAGCGACATAACTTATTTTGAAGAAACAATTTCTGTCTGTATGCTTTAAAATTTAGAAATTTATTTCTATCGGAGCAATAAATATATTGAGATTCCAGTAGTGCAAAATGAATCCGGATCTGCTTACATGCATCTTTAGAACAAAAGCCACTCGGAAGCATTAATGATATCAGTTTGACTTCCTACTAATAGTTCTGATGAAGAAATATATTCTTTCATCACTGTGTTAGTAAAATACTGTCTGTAGGAAGATGAAATGCGTAAAAGGCGAAATGCATAAAAGAGCTGAGGATTCCAACCCCATTTTTTATGAGAGCAAGCAATTCAAACAGAGCTTGACTTCATGTCTTCCATATTCATAATGTTTCCATTTGTGCGTTAGACAATCTGGATTTTTCTCTGTGTTTTGGAATTGAGATTCTTTGTCAGTGATTGTGGGAGAGGTAGTTAGTAGCATCTGGAAGACACGTGCAATTTATGTGCAGAAATACTGTGGTTTCACTTAGGACTGCTGGATAGCTGAGCCAGAGGCTGGGAGTTGGATTCCCCACCTAGGACTGCTGGATAGCTGAGCTAGAGGTTGGGAGTTGGATTCCCCACTGGGCCTCCTTGACAAGGGTAGGGCTTGTTCATCCGTAGGGTGCCTTCCATCTCTGTAGTTCTAAGATTGTATGAGGTCACTTATGCCATATGGACTAAATGTGCCCAGAACATGAAAAGACTGCATCCAGCAATGCAATTATGAATGACAAATTGCATGACTTCACTGGAAATCATATATCTGTGGCCTTCCAATATAACCCTAGTTTATTCGGTGAATGCAACATACTTAATAGATAAGTAGATAACTGCCCAGAGTAGACCTTTGGTCTAGATGGGCGAGATAGAAATCAATCAATCAATCAATCAATCAATCAATCAATCAATCAATCAATCAAACAAACAAACAAACAAACAAACAAACAAACAAACAAAAAGTGTCATGTAAAAGCAGGAACAAAAAAATGGCAGGAAAATCTGTGCCAACATTATGCCCATCCCTTATATACTGACACCTTTATTTTCTGCATCTCTGGTGCCCAGGGAGTCACATGGGCTAAGATCAAGGGCAGTGTGCCTAGGAGCACAATATAACTTGAGATGAAGGATTGCATGTCCAAGGAATTTCTCTTAAGGTTCTCCTCAAGAGCTACAGTAAGGTTAGCACCAAGAGTCTCTCCTTGTAGATTAATCTGCCTATGATTTCTTTTCCTCCTAACAAAAGAATGAGGAAGATAAACATAGACTGGTAACCCAGATAACTTTCCAATGATATCTTCCCAAAGATCTTTGGGCTCCATCCAAACAATGAAGGCCCAGTTCTTTGAAATAAAAAACATCATAGTTTTCTGCAGCATATCACCTTCCTGCTGACATTTTTATTTTGTTTTTCCGACTTGTGGAGATTAATACACCAAGTTTGTGTAACACTTTCACAGGATTTGAACTACAGTGAAGGGTAATAATCAGATAGAGACCTGGATGTATTCCCCATTGCCTTTTCTAGCTTGACATGTAGCTCAGTACTCTTAGGCTTTCTGCTTTACTACTTTTTGCTCTGAGGTCATTCTCTGTTCTTTTTGCTCCTCCATTTAGTTAGAAAGGTAGACCTATAGGCATGAAAGAGGTTTCTCTAAACCAAAGACATTTAGAGACTGTTTTCCTCCTGCACTCTCTCCAAATGGATTTCCTGAGTTAACAGATAGGGACTGGTTTTTGTGCCTCATTATTAATCTCCGCAGTGATTCTTCTTTTTTAGTAGGTGCAAGTGTTGCAGTGGACCACTGCCCTGTGCCAGATGAGATGAAATAATTCTAAGAAAACTGACGCACATTTCACATTCTGTTGCAGTGCATGTCCGCTGAAGACATCTTTTCTGTGCATGGCATGTCAAACAGCAGCAGGATAACAGACTCCAGCTTCTCCACAATATGTCCTGCTGTCTTACAACAACTGATTTTCCACCCATGTGAAAAATCCAAAGGCAATTCAAAGCCACCTCCCACAGAAGGTTATGTACTGTACTTCTCATTCATATCTATGGGTTTAATTTTGTCCTGTCATTTTTGTGTTTTATTTTTATAAATCTATAAAGCCATTTTGTTAACATGTAATGGGGCCTAAATATGCAGTGTTTGTGAGGAGGCTACCACCTCTTACTCCTGAGAGAGTTAAGATAGGATGCCAGTAAATACCTGCTCAGACTAATTGTCCCCTTGGTCCAATATTGTCTGCTCTGACTGGCAGCGACTCTTCAGGCAGAGATCTTCCACATCATTTGCTACTTGATCCATTTGACTGGAGATAGTTGCATTTGAACCCTGAATATTTGGCATAGGAAGCAAGTACTCTGCCGTCTCAAACTGGAGGTGCCATCAGATGCAGTTACAGGAGAATGTTATGAATGTTGTGTTATTTTTGGACTATAATCCCTAGAATCCAGTGGGATTATGCTACCCCCTGCCCAAAGGTGGCGATGATTTTTTCAAACTCTGGATATAAGACAGACATGGTGGCTGCCAATTAAGCAACAATGAGGCATCCGCTTTCTGAGTACTCCTTCAAGGAGGAGGAACCCCTCTGCCCATACCAAAACAGTAGTAATAAATTTGGATGTGCAGGTGCTAATCATTACAGTTTCCATAGTGTTCCCCTGAGTGCGAAGATGCAAGCAGCTAAATCAATGTCTACCAAAATATGAGGAGGCCTTTTGTAAAACTAGTCTCTTAGTTACCATTTCAAGGCCAAGGAACCTTCAGGTACTTGGCATTACAGTGGAATAGCTTGCAACAATATATGGTTCAAGGCAAAATCCATCTCTCTCAGGTACTCTAAGGTTTGCAGCTATACTCAGAGAAGAGGGAAGCCTGAGAGAGCTGTTGGATGATACCATCATCTCTGCTAATAAGAAAGTCCTGGGGCTTCAACTCTGCAGGTTGGTCCTTCATAGAAGGCCATCGGTTTGCAGTAGAGATGCTCCAATTGCTCCTGCAGCATCAGAAGTAATGCCCAGCAGAAGCTGCTTATATTATGCCCCATATGCACATTTGGCCATATTTTACATGTCTGCATGTCACCAAAATGGCCACCATTTATCTGTGTATTAGTTTGATTATGGTTCTTCTGAAGTTATATGACTTCTGATTCTCCTTAAACAAAGGTCGCTTTTGTGAAATGTTGGACAGTGCAAGATACCAGGTGGAAATACTATATATTCAATTTTTTAAAAATTTGGGGTGTAACATGGAGCTCTGCAATTTTAGAGTGGAAAATACCAAGATGTCTTCAATCACAAATGTAAAAAATGTAATCCTGTCAGTACTATACAGTATAATCTAGCTCTTAAACACTTTATATTGATACAGTATTTTCCCTGAGGCGTAAATTATATTTTTCCATCTGAAATTGCCTCAATAAATAAATCCTGTTCTATTGCAGCCTCAGAGCTATTTTTGGTTTTCTTTTCCTGGTCAGCACATTTTTTAAAAAAAAATAAGAGGCACAAACATTCTTTACTTAATCTCATTTCTAACCCCAATATATCTGAATATTATATTTTGAATTCAGATATTTGGCAACAGCAAGATTTCCCCCCATCTCTTGTAAGAGTTGTTTGCTTGAAAAAGAGCTGGGGGGGGCGTGAAGTGTTTTTCTATATGAACTCATCTGATATTTTTCTTGTCCTTTTCTTTCCCTACAGTGTGGGGCTTCGGTTTCCTTGCTGTGACTATAATCAACCTGGCTTCACTTCTTGGATTGGTTTTAACCCCTCTTTTAAAGAAAGATTATTTCCCCAAAATTTTAACCTACTTTGTGGGTTTGGCCATTGGGACCCTGTTTTCCAATGCAATTTTTCAGCTTATTCCAGAGGTAAGAAAAAAAGGGTGAAGAGGGAAGACCGATTTTGGGGATTATGATACTCAGACCTCTTAGCCAGAATGACACATGCTGGCTAGCAGATTCAAAGTAACTTCTCCAAAATATAATAATGATGGGTTGTAGAACCAGCATCATGATTTTATTGTGCTTTTTCTTCCAACCATAGTCAACACATACATCATTGGGGGAATGTTCATGAGCTATTATAATCCTGAAGTAATTCCCAATTGCTCACTACTCTTCCAGTCAGAGGATCATTCAATAAAATAAGGCAGCCTTGTTTCAGCATTTCTCAATCTGAGAAAGATTAATGATTGACCTGAACTGTCACTCAAGGACAAAGAAGCTGGTAATCCTAAAATGATTCGATTATGGATAGATAGATTAGGCATCCTTCAGTCTTGAGAGACTATGGTAACATGCTCTGTATGGAGGACTTGGAACAGCATCTAGTGTGGCTGAGAAGGCCAATTCAAGAGTGACAATCCCTTCCACACTGAAGATGAATACAATCTGTCCCCTGTCCAGCTTCCTGATTTTGCTGTTTTCGTGACTGCCTCTTTGCCTCGGCCTGCTGAACAAGGGTCTCTTCAAATTGGAAGAGGCCATGATGAATTGAGAGAGGCCTGCCTCCAGGCTGAACGTTCAGATGTCAGGGTTTCCCATCTGTTGAGGTCCATTCCTAAGGCCTTCAGATCCCACTTGTAGATACCCTTGTATCGCAGCTGTGGTCTCCCTCTGGGGTGATTTCCCAGCACTAATTCTCCATACAGAAGATCTTTGGAATCAGCCCATCAGCCATTCTCACAACATGCCCGAGCCAATGTAGATGTTGCTGTTTCAGTAATGTATACATGCTAAAAAATCCAGCTTGATCTAGGACTACTCTATTTGGAACTTTGTCCTGCCAGGTGATACCAAAAATGCATAGGAGACAACGCATATGGAACGTGTTCAGCTTCCTCTCCTGCCGTGCACAAAGGGTCCAGGACTCACTGCAGTACAGGAGTGCACTCAGGACACAGGCTTTATAGACCTGGATCTTGATATATGTCATCAGCTTCTTAGTGAACCATACTCTCTTTGTGAGTCTAGAGAACATGGTAGCTGCTTCGCCAATGTGTTTATCCAGCTCAACATCTAGGGAGGGAGTGTCAGAGATAGTTGAGCCAAGGTACCCAAAGTCATGAACAACCTCCAATTCTTGCATGGAGATGGTAATAGAGGGAGGTGAGTCCATGCCCTGGCCCATGACTTGTGTTTTCTTCAGGCTGATTGTTAGTCCAAAGTCTTTGCAGGCCTTGCTAAAACGATTCATGAGTTGTTGGAGGTCTTCAGCAGAGTGGGCAACAATGGCTGCATCATCGGCGAAGAGGAAGTCCCGCATGTATTTCAGCGAGACTTTGGTCTTCACTCTCAATTTTGAGAGATTAAAGAGCTTTACATCTGATCTTGTCCAGAGATGGACACCTTCTGTTGCAGTTCCAAAGGTGTGCTTCAGCATGACAGCACAACATCCAAAATGACTTGGTCTGTAATTCTATCTCAACTTCTAGTGCTAATTTAAATTAGTGCCATGCCTGTTTAGTGCTCTAGTGATGAAGTACCATTTAAAAAAAAAAACAACAACCTGAATTTACAAATTGCATTGCAGTTATAGTCCTTAGCAGTGTGTGCAGAAACCAGCAGAAGGAGTAGGGTTCACTCCCACATCATGTTACTCTCTGCATATCATCATTTATATCATCTGGACACACCAAACAATGGCCCTAAAGGACAGAGATAGGCGATGACAGAGGCCAAAAGCATGACAAAGTCATGCAAGTGGAAATGCTACAAAAAACACAACTCCTGTCCATAGAACAAAATACACCATGTACTCATGCCAAAAGATTGGATCTACTCACAATTAGTGCTAACATTGTGTAGTCGACAGAATAAATATTGAAAGGAACGATGAGAACCATTGTAGAAACCAGGGAACAAATACCCTCCTGGTTGCTGCGTAAAGCTGTTTTCTGTGCTCCCAGCATCTAAAATAGTCAAAACACATTTTTTGTTCTTCTGGATTAAAATTGGAGACACACTCTAATTTTGCTTCTAAATCAGATTGTTATTATTTTGTGTGGGAGAGGTTAAGACTTATCTGTTGACAACATATTTCTTCACGAGCCACCATTTTGAGTGTGCTTTCTGCTCCAAAGTACCCTATTTCTGGATGAATTTTCTTCCTCTAGCAGATTGATTCAAATGTAGGAAGTCCAGAACAATGATTTCATCTTCCATGAATGGGCACTGTAGCTCAGCCATGTAACCATTAATTTACCCTTTGATTAAAACTGTTTAACAAATTGTCAGGTTGTTATTTTCTTTATATACTGTTTGTCCTTCAAAGAGCTAATGGTGGCATACATGGTTCCCCCTCCCATTTTTATTCCTACAACAACCCTGTAAAGTAGAACAGTTTGAGAGGTAATGACTGGCTCAAGGTTACCCTGGGAACTTAATAACTAAGTGGAGGACTAAGTGGAGGGTAGAACCTGACTCATCTGAAAGGCTAACCATTGCCCTATGGCGAGTTGTACATATGGTTGCACTTAAATGTGAGTACTGGTGGTGTGAATTTAAACCAGTTTATTAGACAGATTTAATCAAAGGGTGGATAACTGCAAGTCTCTTGTATTGTTTCTTTATAATGCACATCAGTTTTGCATAACTTGCATTCACTATTAAATTTTCTTGTAGGCATTTGGATTTGATCCCAAAATAGACAACTATGTTGAAAAAGCCGTTGCTGTGTTTGGTGGGTTCTACATCCTTTTCTTTGTGGAAAGAGTTCTTAAAATGATACTGAAGACCTATAGCCAGGTGGGTAGGAAGCAAAGCATGAATGATAAGAAGGTTCAGATTTTGGCTGTTTTTCACTGTTTGTTTGTATATGTTAATTAGAGATGGGATGAACCGATTCATCCCAGTTCGTAAAGGCTGCTCCCCTCCCTCACCTCCTATGGCTCAATCAGCCACTCACCAAGCCCAGCAGCTGCTCCCCTCCCTCATCTCCTATGGTTCAATCGGCCACTCACCAAGCCCAGCATACTAACTTTCTCAACGGATCTTCCAGCCCTGACAACAGGTAGGCGTTTCTGCCCAGCCCTCTTGGCTGATCTCCCGGTGCCAGACAAAAGGGTGGGGGCAAAGAAGTCTGTGTTCTTGCTTATGACTGGGAGATTAGTCAAGGAGGTGGGAAAAGAAAGAAAGCTGGGCCTGGTGAGTGGCTGATCAGCTGTGGAGGTGGGGGAAGGGAGCAGCAGCATCTGTGCTGCCATCTTTACAAACCAGCATGAACTGGAATGGACTGGTTTGCAGCCATCTGTAATGTTGATTTAACTAGATATAACTTAAGGCTTAAAACCTGTGTTGAATTTAAGCAGAGGGCAGCAATTCCCAACCTTGGTATTCTTGGACTGCAGCTCGCAGGTTACCTGAGGTTAGGAACCATTGCCATAGGTGAACCTTTGGCTTCCAGATGTAGTCCAGATGTTTGGGACTACAGCTTATACAAGCAACTGGGAGTTCCAGTCCAAGAACATCTCCTGTAGGTTACCTGAGGTTAGGAACCATTGCCGTAGGTGAACCTTTGGCTTCCAGATGTTTGGGACTACAGCTTATACAATCCTTTTTAGCATAGATCATGCTGGCTGGGGTTTTGGGTAGTTGAAGACCAAGTCATCTGGAAGGCCAAAGTTACTTCAAACCAACAGCTAACAGCAAGTGATAGAATTTCTCCAAGCACGAAGAGTGTGCAGAAGAAAGACTGAACATGGGCAATGTCTTCCTCACAGTCACTGCCATATACAGTCCCATGTGCATGATTTTAGATGGAATTTTTTTTTGAAGAAGTACATTAGTGTAGCAGGTTAAAGTCGTAAGGAGTCATTAATTAATTAATTTCTAAACTAAAATATTTATTTCTCACACTGTAGCAAATGGTTTCAAGGTGTGATACAGGAAACAAAATTGTTTTAGGCAAATGATCCAACATATGAGGAGTGAAGTGCTAGCCCTGATCTCTCCATTATTCTTTTTTTTTTTTTAAACATGGAAATTGATGGGTCTGAAGCGGACAGGCTTCCCTTTTCATGGAGCTATCTGTGTGAGCAAGAACCCTTGTTTTCCAGCACTCTCTTCATGTGGAGAACTTCCACGCAGACAGGAACCTTCCTGCTTTTGACTTGTGACTTTCCATATGGGGAAAACAATGATGGAGGAGGTGGGCTTGGTGTCCCTATTCTCCCATGTTGCATACAGTTTGAAGAACAATGCAACCCCCGTATGAAACAAAGAAAGGGAAAAGTCAAAGAAATACATTGAAATTGAGTTTGAGAGATGATCACATCCCGCTTCAGTAGCAGGTGATGCAGATGCCTGTTGCTTGATACCCCAGAGAGGCTCTTCCAGTCTGAACAGACCAGATGTGGATATAGTATGGCTTCCTGTCTCATTGGGTATGTTACAGTAGCTAACAAATATGTCTGACCTTGCTCCATAATGCCCGGACAACTTCTTTTCTTCTGAAATCTGTCCCCAGACTGTTTCCTTTGATTCTCTTTAGATGGGCCACAGCCACTTTGAACCTGAAGAACTGAAACCACCCCGAAATCTTCCTCTTCCTGTTGAAACAGTCAAGTCTGTTAATGGAACCATGTGCTATGCAAACCCAGCTGTAGCTGAGGCTAATGGGAATCTCAGTTTTGATAATGCCAGTACCGTCTTGGGACAGGTATGAACTAATTATTGTGGAAGCGATCATAATATGTTACTTTTCTTTTTTTGCCTTCCCCTTCCAGTTTTGTGGAAGGATGTCTTTCCAAAATCTATTTTGCTGGATGGTTATATGGATCTAAGATGGTGTTAATACTTGAACCAGAAGTATACCACATGCCAGGGAATGTACATCTTGTCAGTTCCATTTATGCTTTTGAAAAGAAGATATCAAATTTAAAAGCAAATTCAGCACCTAGTTTATTCCAATACTTTGGGAATGTTGAACTTTTTGAAACAGCTGAGAACATCTTACTGTGTTTGAAATGTTCACAGATGATATGTGGATTTAAAAGTACCTCTTGCTAGATTCTGGTACTTGCTGTCTTATTTGGCTCTAACAGTTTCCAAAGTTCTGTTCTTATGCATTTTCCTATAAAACAGTAGGTAGAGAGTGCCTAAGTTTTGACTTGCTACATATGTGTGTGTGTCATATCCACGCAAACTTGTTAAAAACGAGATGTGTTTGTTTGTATAAAGCAAACATATCCTGGATAGAGATGTGCAGCCGGTTCTCATTTTCTGAAAACACTTTGAGTTCAATTTAGATGCATTCTTACTTACAGTAATTAACTGATGTCATGACTAACTTAATTCCTTTTGATTTTAGTCTATTCCAGGTGTGAGTATCTGGATGCATCCCAACATATGCCAGGCAAAATTATAAGCAAACCCCCAAGACCTTAGATATACAGGTAAACAGTTTTAGCTGTAAATCTAAGGGTTTGGGGTTTGCTTAAAATTTAATATAGGAGTCTGTTGAGTCTTCTCCAACTGAGAGGATTCTGGGTGTGAGGGACCTCATCCAGTCTCTCTGGGGAGACCTATGAGTGGTAGCTCAACCCATCTGGAGGCTGTTGGAGTGGAGAAGGCTGTGTCAAGACCAAACCACAGGAGACGTTAAGCTCACGTTTAGCAGATGAGAGAATGCCTTTCTGGTGGCAATGCGATTTCTTTCACAGTTTTGTTTATGGTCTTTCATCAGCTCAGGGAGCTGATCATCTTGTTTAGCTCCACAGTATTTGCTCGGGGTGACCACAGTGTGTCTGATCCAATTTTGAAAGAATTGGTTCTGCCAAGGGAGAAACCTTCTGTGTGCACCAGTGTTTGTGCCCTCTTTTTTATCCTACACAGAATCAGCTGCTTCTCTCTTTCCCTGTACAGCTCCACTCATTGATATAGGTTGATCTTGTTTGTGCAGAGAATGCTTGGCCATTTTACAGGCACAGCAATGGCTTCTACCAGCCATTGAAAGCAGGACAGCTTCACACATGGCTCCTATTTATCACGAGCCAGCATCTTATTAGTTATACTGCCAGTGGAACTCAATTGCTGCCAACTTTGGTGGTGAATTCCTGCCATTTAAGTAGTCAGTGCTGGGTTTTCCTATTCTACAAGAGTAACACGACTTGGTGCACATTCAGAGAAAAACAAAACACACACACACACACACACCGTGCCAATTTCTTAATTACCAGCAGTTTTCTGATGAAAATTGTGTTGATTAAGTCACATTAGCGTATTTATGTAATAGAATCCTAACCATTGTTGCTCATAGTAGTAGCACCCTTGCTACACACATAATTGTGGCAAAACAAGCCATAATGGCCAAACTCCTATCGCTTAGCATAACAAATTGCACTAGAGTAGGCCCACTGAATTAATGGGAATATGGTGAATTGACTCGTCCATAAATTCTACTGATTCAAATGTACTATTTTACGTCACAGTTAGAGTAGGCCCACTTAAATCCATGGTACTGTACTTGTGGAGGGATCCACTCACCAAATCCTCATTGATTCCATGGCCCTCCTATAATGTAATTTACGATGCTAAGTAACAGAAATTTGGCCACTGTTCTGTGTTCCTTCTAGCCCACGGGTGTCAAAAGCAAGGCCCGCGGGCACTTATATCCATAAAGAAAGAAAAAAGAACAATATGTCCCTTTATTCAAATATAATCATACAATAATAATCATATGCCATCAAGTCAGTTTGACTTATGGAGGCCTTTTTCAGGGTTTTTCAGGTAGAGGGTACACAGAAGTGGTTAACCCTTCCCTTCTTCTGGGGGTGCCCTGAGACTGTGAAACTGAACCAAGGCCACAGAGACTGGTTCTACTCATAAAAGGTACAGTGGGGAAATCAAACCCCACAATCTCCGGTTCCACAGCCAGATACCTAAACCACTGAAATATCCAGCCAGTTACAGTTATACTTAGTGGAGAACTCCCAAGCCAGCTACACCAGAGCACAGAGTGCTGTCCTCTGAAGATGCCGGCCACAAGAGACTGGCGAAACGTTAGGAAGAACAACCTTCAGAACACGGCCAAAGAGCCCGAAAAACCCACAACAAACATTAGTGGAGAACTCTTGAAATCAAGGGGACCTAAGTTAGTTGTGACTTGAGTCTCTGTTTAGGCAAAATGTCACATGTGAAGCAATTCACAGTGACACACATTTGTTGTTGTTTAGTCATTAAGTCATGTTTCACTCTTCATGACCCCATGGATCAGAGCACGCCAGGCCCTCCTGTCTTCCATTGCCTCCTGGAGTTTGATCAAATTCATGTTAGTAGCTTCAGTGACACTGTCCATCCATCTCGTCCTCTGTCGTCCCCTTCTCCTCTTGCCTTCACACTTTCCTAACATCAGGGTCTTTTCCAGGGAGTCTTCTCTTCTCATGAGATGGCCAAAGTATTGGAGCCTCAGCTACAGGATCTGTCCTTCCAGTGAGCACTCAGGCTTGATTTCCTTCAGAATGGATAGGTTTGTTCTCCTTGCACTCCAGGGGACTCTCAAGAGTCTCCTCCAGCACACATAGCCAGCAGAGAATGCAAGGGCAGTAAGAAACAGAGACACTGCTTAAAATTTAATTTGTGCCATTAGGTTTCCTTCAGAGCTGAATCACTTGAAAAGTATGAGGCTTTGCAATGACTTGGGTTTTATAGGTGGAGCATCTGAGTGACACATTCAGCAAACAGAAACAAAAGCCTAGTCCAACACATGTAGAAGAAGGAGTAGTCAGATTCCTCTCATGGGTGGCAAATGAGTGACCATTTTTAAATGTTCTCATAAGAAAGAAAACTTCCTGCTAGCAGAAGGCTAAAAAAAGTAGTAAAAGTTAGCTAGCTTATGACCTTTCTCACTGAGGTTTTTTTTTTAAAAAAAAACTTGTCTAGATGGTTTTAATGGGAAATGTTTGTTTTACGAAATGCCTCCAGCTTATCTCATTCTGTTGCATCCATAGAGGACAGGGAAATAGCAGGCAAGAGTTACTGTCGATAAAGAGTTTGATGGACAGGTAATAGACAGGGAGAACACTGGAAACCACAACATTTTAGAAATGTGGAAGGGAAACTAATCTGGAAGAGGCAGGGCATATAAACTAAGAATTCTCTTCAGATGCATCTGATCTTCTCAGGGCTGAGCATTACAGACAGCTTGTCATTAGAAGAAGAATGAATGACATGTGATATGCCAGACTGTGAGCTTCTCCTACTTCCTATATTGTGTGAAATGCCTTCTTTTGATTTATGATTGGTCCTTTGGACTTAAACACATTCTTGTTTGCAACTATGTGTGTGACTACAAGGGCATTTGTGCTGCAGTCCAGTCCAGTCTTGGGACAAGCTAGTTTACTCTTTTTTCTGGCACCCACAGAATCTAGGTGCCAATGCAAACTAGCCCTATTAGGGCAGTGAGGTATCTTTTTAAGGGGAAAAAATTGAAAACTTGTTCCTGGAAGGAGGAGGAGACAGGATGGAGGGCAAGGAGGGGAATATTTTTTGTTGGTGTTTTCTTTCTTTCTTTCCCAATTAAAAAAAGGAAGCAGGCCAAACAGGGCTGTTTGAGGTGCAAATGCCATGTTGGATGCAAGGATCGCACCAGATGACATATCACATCTCTATGTGATTTTAAGTGACCCTATTTGGCCCGTTCCAGCCAGCTCCATTTGAGTTGTCTAGCTATTGTTCAATCATGAAGGCCTACCTCATGTCTCTGGAATACGAATGGATTGAAAGGATGTGGGAACTCCTGGCAAATACCCAATTAGATTTCCCTTGGGCCTCACCTAGGGGCCTCTGCAGCTAGACCACATCAGATGTAACCAATGGAATTCCTGGTAGCTGGTGCTCTCCTGGGACCTCAGAGAGCTGTATCTTGAATAGCTTACACAAGAGGAACCAGTGTAATGACTGCAACACTCTCAGTTTGTGGCCTGGCTATTCCTGATAGCAGCACAATTGTTCTTATCTTTAGAACCATATGTTTCTTCTTTCTCTCTCCTTCCCTCTTTTAGGTGGCCAAACTGTTTGTTCAGATCCCTGCCACTCTTTCTGAATTAGTCACGTAGGTTTAAATTCCACTCGTAGTTGGAACAGCAACCTTTAACATCTCCTGCCATGTATTCAAGAAATTCATACCTGGGAAGACTGCAAAGTTCAATAATAAGGAAAAAGAGACACGGATATTCAACCCCTGGCTCTTAACAAAACATGTTGAGAAGTTTTTGCATCACCAATCAGAGAAAGAAGCAATGTGTCCTGTCATAGTCTTACAAGGAGCCTTTGCAGAGGTTACACAACCCTCGGAGAGGCCAAAAGGGGCACAGCTGCAAGCTGAACATAGAATTCAAATGTATGAAATTCTTGTAATGTCATTCTGAATGGGAAATTGGCTGCTCTGTTTGCATTGTGTGTGCTGTCCTTCTGTCTGGTTCCAGCAAACCTGCTTCTCTGGAAATATCACTACCACAGATAGCATCATCCACGTGACTTGCTTTAGTAAAAATGGGTGGCTTAATGATTCAGTTTAAAAGGAACATGGATGCTATTGTTTTTCTTTGGAGAATTATGTAATTCCTAACCCTCCCAAGTAATAATAAGGAACTGTGTCAGGAACCTTAATATGTTTGGGAGAATTAGAGATATTGTTGCTGTTGAAAATCCCTTACAGGCATAGGAGTTATAGCTATGGATGTGGGGGCAGGGAGGGGAGGCCTTACTGACACAGCTTTAATGTGGGTTGGAGAATGCAGTGTAAATTCCATGACCTCAAGGTGACCAGGAGAGCCAATATGGTGCAGGAGATAGAGCAGCCCTGTGAGGTAGGTAGGTAGGTAGGTAGGTAGGTAGGTAGGTAGGTAGGTAGGTAGGTAGGTAGGTAGGTAGGTAGGTAGGTAGGTAGGTAGGTAGGTAGGTAGGTAGGTAGGTAGGTAGGTAGGTAACCCACTGCACTTCATAGCTCAGTGGGGACTAAAATCTGGCTCTCCCAAGCTCCCATCTAAAATTCAAGCCACAACACTACTTTGGCTTATACTTTCCAAAATTCTTTGTTATTAAAGGCACAACTGCCCCAGCCTTCTTTGCATGTGGTCATCCAAAATGAATTTTCCTTCTTTACTATCAGAAGAACAAACAAACAAACATGGTTCTAGGATATATTCGCGAAGGCTTTCACGGCCAAGATCTAATGGTTGTTGTGGGTTTTTCAGACTCTTTGGCTGTGTTCTGAAGGTTGTTCTTCCTGACGTTTCGCCAGTCTCTGTGGCCGGCATCTTCAGAGGACAGCACTCCCAAGCCAACTACACCAGAGCACAGGTTGCTGTCCTCTCCGGCCACAGAGACTAGCAAAATGTTAGGAAGAAGAAACTTCAGAACACGGCCAAAGAGCCCGAAAAACCCAGAACAACCATGGTTCTAGGAGCATGTAGGTTTTTCTTGTGCCCCTTAATAATTAGCTGTCCTTCCCAACGGATTGCCTTTTTGCTCTCTAGGTGTTTGTGGGTTTTTGTTAGTTGTTCTGAATTGATTTGAACTTCATGTAAGTCTAACACTTTATCTGACATGGGTTGTATGGACAGCGTATCATGACATCCATTAGAAACCAGAGTGTCTGACTAGGAGCATGTAGGTTTTTCTTGTGCCCCTTAATAATTAGCTGTCCTTCCCAACGGATTGCCTTTTTGCTCTCTAGGTGTTTGTGGGTTTTTGTTAGTTGTTCTGAATTGATTTGAACTTCATGTAAGTCTAACACTTTATCTGACATGGGTTGTATGGACAGCGTATCATGACATCCATTAGAAACCAGAGTGTCTGAAGTGTTCCAACAAATTTTGGACTGGTTGGTGTGGGTTTTTCGGGCTCTTAGGCTGTGTTCTGAAGGTTGTTCTTCCTAACATTTCGCCAGTCTCTGTGGCCGGCATCTTCAGAGGACAGCACAATTTTGGACTCATAACTACTATGAAATACTATGAAATCCTTTAATGCTTTTTGGGGGGGCTTTAAAACAAATGTGACATTAGAGCTCATTCTGTACTGAATTTCCTTGGACATCTCAAGTCACTTGGCTACTGAAAAATTGCCCATAACAATTAATCTCAAGCCACTTGCAGAATGAGTTTGGTTTTCTGTTATATGTGTGGAGAAACAGTATTGGCCATTTGTCTGTCTGTAATTCAGCACTTTCTAATGATTTGCCCCCCTTTTTTAGCCATTTAAGAATTCACAGAACTGGCATATTTTGTTTCCTGCAGAAAGAAGAAACCCAAAGCAGCTCATGCAGATGCTTCAAAGGACCTGCTCTGTCAGAGATTGGTACAATTGCCTGGATGATCACGCTGAGCGATGCACTACATAACTTCATTGATGGGCTAGCTATTGGGGCATCCTTCACACTGTCACTGCTTCAGGGAATTAGCACATCTATAGCAATCTTGTGTGAAGAATTTCCTCATGAACTGGGTAAGAGGTATCATAATTTAGAAGCAGCTCAGTCTTAAGGGACAGCGGTAAGGGGTATCCCAATAACTAAAGCTGCTGATGTATTAGTCTTAGGTTCGAACTACACATAATATTCAGGTCTGCATTTAGAAGCAGCTCAGTCTTAAGGGACAGAAGATGTCTCTTTGCCGGATAGGAATTTTTCTCATCTTAACTTCTTATAAATTAGCTTACTTTGTTTTACAGATGGCTGTTGGGACCTACAATAGGTTCTGTTTGCAAGTCTGACTGGGCAGGTGCAACACTCTGTGAGACTTATGCCACTAGAGGGAAAACATGGTATTGTTTTCAAATGTCAAACAAGTATCCTGTGCAATTTGCACCTGTTTGGTTGGATTGAGAGTTGGGAGCTACAGGTTCTAGTGTTTACTGAGTCATGAATTCTGCTGGATAATCCTGAGCTAGACACACTCTTTCTTAGCCTCAGGGCTGTAACTAGGATGGGATAACTGGGGCTTTACTCCGGGGTGCCAAATTTAGAAGGTATTTCCGCTTCCCATACCTTTTTTTTTCAGATTGGCACAGCAGTCTAGTTTACCACTATATGAAAAGATGGTGATAAGGCCTGTACATCAGGCCCCTAGAAGAGAGAGCAGAGGATGGTCAGTATACCAAGCCTCCTTGAAGCAGCAGAGGGTATGCCTATGCAGGGCTTGTTAGGCCAAGCCTTTGACCCAGACTTGGAAGAGGAGGTGGCATCCAGGTGGAGAGCAGGTCGATTTGGGTCTTAGTAAATCAAGTGTCTGGGATGCACAGCACAGAAGTCAGCTTCATTACTATCAGTGGCATGCATCATTGGGAAAAATGGATGTCAATTGGTATTTTATTTGCCTGTTTGCTACTTTTATATCCGCCCTTCCACTGATAAGTCCAAGGAGGTGTTCATTGCTTCTACCTACCCTTTATTCTTGCAACAGGACTTTGAGGTAGGTCAGGCTGAGCAGAGCCATAACTAGTACTTTCAGCACCAGGGCAAGCAACACACAATACACACCCATATCAACATTGTCATTCATTCATGATGTGGAAATAATACAAGGCATAATTACAGTACCAAACCCCATGCCAGCATCTCCCATCCCCTATAGGAAATCAGCAACACTGTTACAGCTACAGACACAAATCAAATATATATATTTTAAGCGAGTAATCTCTTCTCTCAAGTCTTATTTTTTAATAGCTTTTTGGAGAAACATTCCCTCTTTGTAAAAATTACAAATGTCTTTGTAAATTTATTATGATATTTCCTGATGACTTCCCACCTTTTTTTCCCCCAGGAGATTTTGTCATCCTTCTTAATGCAGGAATGAGCACACGGCAGGCCTTGTTCTTCAATTTCCTCTCCGCGTGCTCCTGCTATGTTGGACTCGCTTTCGGTATAGTAGTTGGCAACAACTTTGCACCAAATGTTATCTTTGCAATAGCTGGAGGCATGTTCCTGTACATTTCCCTGGCAGATATGGTGAGATTCCTACCACATCTTACTTACATCCCAAATAGGAATATGAGAGTTTGCACAGTTTGCATTATGAGGGAATATATTGTAAGAGAAAGCTAGTAAAGTCATGGACCAGGCATCACAATAGTACAAAACATAAAAATAATACCTTCATGGAATTAGTGTCTCATGGTAATAATATCCAGAATGGCACTTAATGCCACTTTTCACTATAGTTGGCATGTTGGCTGAATTTTGTTGTTCTTTTGTATGGGCGAGCTATGTTTCAGGCTACATTGGAAATTTAAATTCTCACTCATTGGGTGAACAGGACTTGTCAAGTCATCACCTGCAATGGCCATATTGATTTAGTAGGTCTACTATATTGGAATTAATATTGGATTTAGCCCACAGCTCTATAGATATTTATAGTAGGACTTGCTTATCTGCAGGGTCAGTATCCGTTGATTCACTTATCCATGGTCTGAAAAATGTTGAAAATACTGAAAGAAAAATCCCCAATATATACCGTATCTTTTTGTGTATACAACCCCCAAAGTATAAGATGACCCCCCTAATTTTGACCCTTGCCGGAGGCGGAGGAGCAGTTAATGGGCAACTGCAACTCCACCTCCATCTCCTGATGCCTCTGCCGCCTGATCACCTCGTCCAGTGTGACTGCCAGTGCTCACCTCCAGCTCACCTCATCACCGCCTTGTCCCCTGCCCGAAGGGAGCGCTGGAGGAAGCGATACGGTGACAGCAAGAGGCGCCTGAACACGTGTGTATACTCCTTTGCCTCTGCCACCGGAGGGGACAAGGCAGCGACCTGAGATGGAGGTGACCCCCGGCAGTCGCACTGGAGGAGGAAATGGGCGGCGGGAGCACTTTGCCTCCGCCACCAGAGGGGACAAGGCAGCGACCTGAGATGGAGGTGACCCCCGGCAGTCGCACTGGAGGAGGAAATGGGCGGCGGGAGCAGCAGCAAGAGGTGCCCGAGTGCGCGCGAGAGTCCTCCTTTGCCTCTGCCTCCTTCCATGTATAAAATGACCCTCTATTTCCCCCCTAATTATTTTAGGAAAAAGTGTCATTTTATACACAGAAAAATACGGTGTATTTTTAACAATGAAGTTACCAGAACTGCCATTAGAGGGAACCAGAGACCATGCTACATATAGCGTTCACTATTCGAATAGTGTTCAGTATAATCTGCATTTTTCAGCATCCACAGGAGGGCTTGGAACTGATCCCTGGCAAATACAAGGGTCCTACTGTATTGTGAGTTGTTTCCACCTAGAGAAAAGGGCACACTAGGAAGCTAGAAGTGTCCCTTCTCTTTTAGGTGATGCTTACATGGGAAAAAAATCTTGCTAAATTAGTTGTTCTTGATCACAGTGGCAATACATTGAGGCTGCCTATTGAGGATTTGTTGACCTCTAATAAAAATTCTCACATCTAGAACAACCATACTGGGTTGTGTGGGGGTTGTCAAGGTTTCTGCAGTGAAATTACCGTCTTTCCCCATTGTGAAGAAAAGGCAAATGTACACTTGCCCTTGAATGTAAACATACACACAGAGCAAGTGCAGAAGAATTGGCTGATGGAGCCAAAAGATGCAGGCAGCTCATTTGCTGCTTCTAATATTTAAAAATTAGTGCAACAAGGCAGCAGCTACTGTCGGTTAGTTATGTGATTTGCCTAGAAATTATTCTTGCAAGGGTAAAAGTATTTCTCAAGGCTGACAGAAAATCTCTCTCTTTTGCAAGTCAGGATAGATTCTTGCAGTTTCTTGTTCTTGCACACAAGAATGAGAAAAGTGAGCATTTACTTCTCTTGCTTACACCTCTCTTTTGAACCGCTCTATGGCACAATAGATGATAGGATTCTCTGTCTATCTTCCAAATCTTTCTGTCTTTAGGTCTCTAGACCGGAAGCTTTCATGCAGTGTCTGAGCAGAATGTAAATTGTGTGTATGAATGGTCAGTGCAGAATCCTGCTTTTTTTGCTGAGTTCCGCCTTGTTCCTCTCTATCTATAAACAGGTAGGATGTGTTAGAACTCTTGTTTCCTTCTTTTCTGTTCCTTCCTTTGATGTGTTCTCTGCACGCCAGTGTATACGTTGTGCAGGATGTATTGGTGGTAGATTGAGGTGGTAGAATTCAGAATGCAAGTAGGAGGGATTCATTTTCTGGATTGTGGGCAGGAAGTCCTAGAATTATGCCTCAGTAATCGAGGAGAATTTGGAATTTAAAATAATGAATAACATATTACTAGGAAGAGGGCACGCCAGAGAACAGTGGGGAACAGTAGCGAGGAAAACCAGTGGCAAAGAAGCTTACTCAAAGACAAAGAAAAAAGAATCAGTGAGGAGAGGTTGCTCAAGACCCCTTAAATCTAATGCCACCACTGGACATACAGTGTTCAACCACCTCAGTTTATAACCTTATTATTTCTCACATAATGCATAGGTAGGCCAGGCCTCATAAGAAATTTGTTAAGGCATCAGGCAGATGCCATTTTAAAATGTTCTACATGGAGTCAACTTCCATGTCACTGCACCTTACTGCATTGATTATTAATTTGGATTAATTGTAATTTTCTGCTTATTTACCAAGCAGTGGTTCAAGCACAGTTGCTTTTTTCTCCACTTGTTAATATTATCCTGTATTTTTATAAACGAATGTATTTATTTTACAACAGTTACCTACCACTTAGTTTTAAAAATAATACGGCAAAACAATTCACAACATTAAAATATACATTAAGATATATGAAAAAAATACAATAACATATACAATAAAATGCATTACTATATATCAAAATATAGGCCCACAGAATAATTTGTGCTAATAAGTAAATGCCTACTGAAGTGCATTTTAGTACCATTGGACAAACGCTAGTATTGGCTAAGGGTGTAAAGCAGGGGTGTCCAACCTTTCACCTTTGTGCTAATAAGCAAATGCCTACTGAAGTGCATTTTAGTACCGTTGGACAAGCGCTGGTATTGGCTAAGGGTGTAAAGAATCCTTGCAGAGTTATTCTTGTCAATTAGGGCTATTCCTCCTTGACAAGTAATTGTGATAGGGGATTTTTGAGCCCTAAGAAATTCCTCACCTCAAGGCAAGAATGAAACAAAAGAGTATATTTATCTGTAATTTGTCCAGGTTTCATTTATGCAAAACCAGTGACCCTTCCTTTAAAAAAATGAAACCCTTAGACAAAAATTAGTGTTTTTGTTAAGGTTTCTATACTTTTTATAAACGGTCTTTGCAGAAAACTAGCTCCTTCCCTTTGAAAAGCAAAGCACTCCCACCAAAGCAAGCACAGAATGATTGCTAAGAAAGACACAACCGTTCAAATGCTCCTGATCCTTAAAACCCATGTAATAAAGCAGCAACCATCATGCTGTACAATTTATGCTATTTGCACAGTTTTGCTTCATTTGCACAAAAAGGCATTCTCATTTTCATCATCTTATTGAGAACCGCGCAATATATTTTTTGCAGAGTAAGGACAACACTCTTGTAGTTCTTGGTCTTGTGTGAAGATAAGCAAAACTTTATTTCCTCTCTCCCTCCCTCCTGTTGCTCACTCGCTCACTTGTATTATTTATATGCCACCTTTCTCCCCATAGTGGACCCACTACAGCTAAAGTTATACAACAATTAATTATCAGGTTTCATTTGTGGACCCACTACAGCTAAAGTTATACAACAATTAATTATTTTTAAATCCTATAAAAATATTATTTTAGAAAACTAATAAGATTATCTCAGGATTAAAAATAATTTTAAAACATTTTTTAAAATGTAGAAATCTCTAAGTTTAATAAAGAAAATATTCCCGATATTCTTAATGCTTAAAAGCCTACCTGAAATGGAAGATCTTTGCTTAATGTAGGAAGTATAGGAGGGAGGGGTATTCTTGAGGCAACGCATTCCAAAGCCTGGGAACAGCTACTGAGAAGGCCCTCTAATATTGATGCTTCCCAAATAACCAGAGAAGGGAGTGGTATTTCAGAGAATATGAGTCACTAACTTGTTTTGCTGATTTAAGTGGGTCCACTAACTGACTAAAGGCTGAATCCAGCCCAGGGGCTGTCTGCAAGGCTGAATTGGAGCAGGCTGGAATAGGCTCCCTTATGGCCAAGTAGAAGCCCGGTTTGCCATTTGGTATGATCTTTGCATCCATGTGGCGTACACACCTCAGGCAACCCTCTGTTGAAAACAACAAAAGAAAATAAATAGAAATCTCTCTCCTTGCCTGCCGTCCTCCCACTTCTGAGAGGACATTTTAATTTTTCCCCCTAAGTGATATAGCACACCAGCACTGTCATATTAGACTTCTAAAAAAGTTTGCTTTCTTCCGTTGCCCCTCCATGGAGGAACAGAGGAAGTGTTTAATTTCCCTAATATTGTGATTTTAGAAGTGGTAGCCACGTCAGTCTAGGGTAGCACAATGGACAAAAACTAGAGAAATATGTTTCTTTAGCTGAATATTATGAAGTAGCTAGCTATCTTCTTGAGCCATTTAATGATTCTGGGAAATTGAAAGTTGTAAGCTCCACTTTGGTTCATCTCCATCGATTGCACATCCTGGAAATGAATCAAAATGGAGCAAACCTACTTGCACCTAAAAAGTAGTAGCTCCTGACAGGGACCCAGAAAGGAGCACTCAGGGGACAGGCTGGTTGGCTTTAACCATTGTGTAATCTGATTGTCAGAAAAGGGAGCAAACTAGCCTGTTCCTGTAGTGGACTGAAGAGCAGGATGAATGCTCATCTGATCACTGGGGGACAGGCTGGTTTGCTTTAAACATTATGTAATCTGATTGTTAGAAAGGGAGTGAACCAGCCTGTTCCTGTAGTAGACTAAAGAGCAGGATGAATGCTCATCTGATCACTCCTCCCTCCAATAATTCTGGATAGTGGATATAAAGAAACTACCCACTGGCTACCCTGCATACTTCCTCAAATTCTCCAGGATTTTTTTTCCAACTAAGACATATCCTGCACATACTCACTTACGAACAGACCTCATTCACTCAGTGGGACCTCTGAGTAAACATGCACAGGATTGTGCTGCTAAGTGAGTCAAATGAAGTCATCAAATAATTATTTACCATAACTTACTGAGAGCAAAGTTTTGCTTAGAGTTACCTCTCTGTCTGGAGCTATGATTTGTACTGACTGATTAAGGATGAATACAGCTGTCACAGGAGTGAAGGCCTGCAGTCTCAAAGGGGGGGGGGGAGAAAAGGCCTTGGATCTCAAAGGGAAGATTAGCAGGCTGAAAGGGGTGCTCGGTACAGCTCAGTGAGTCAAGACATGTTTAAGGAGGGCTAGCCCAAGGCATTCTTTATTTGAAGAAGAACTACAAATGGTGCTTGTCTCACAACCTCATGGTACATATGACAAAGTCCAACCAAGTTATTTGGCAGTTGAGCCAGAACTTCTCACAGGTATTCCCCTTCTCAACTGGGCAGTTGAAACACAGTAAAACTAAACTGAACAATTTTCTGTCTTTTACTGATATCGCAAATCTGTTGACTGATGTATCTGCTTCACACTGGTTGAATATAAGACTGGCATAGGCTTTCCTTGTCCCTAGGTGTTAGAAATGCCATAACAATTATTATAAACAAATACCAATGTATTAGCTTTTCCTTGCACTATAAATTTGCTGCCTGAGGTGACTCCCTAGGAAGCCTATCAGTGGATGGTGGGTGGGATGGGGGTGGAACTGTACTGGTAAGATGGCTTGTGTCATCATATAGTTTTGTTGAAGAGACTTTTGTTGAAGAGAGAAGATGAGGAAAACAACAGCTGCTTTCTGCCTCTGTGAGTGTTATTACTCCAGTTATTGAAAAACGTCTCCCCCTCAACATGAAAATTCAATTCTCTTTCAAATATATTTCTAGAGAGCCCATTTTTGTACTGCTTAGGTTTCAGAGGGCTTGGAAAACTCTGAACTTGATCCTAACTCATCTTTGATAAGAAGCCAGCACAGCAATTTTGTTGATCTGTATTTGTCAGCACTTTGTGGGAGCTAAAGTTTCTTCAGTATCTTTGAATTAATTTCCAAGGAGAGTGTGTTGCAGTGATCAACTGCGAGTAAATAACAGGGATATGTTTACCTACCAGACTAGAAGCAATGTCTATGAGTAGTTGTTTTTCTGTTTCTTTTTATTTTCTTTTGCATCTCTGCTGATGTATGTATGAGTGTGTCTGTGTGTGTGTATCTAGAAAGCTGCATTTATGATGGTCACAGAAACAAGATGTATTGTAGACATTATCTCACAGTAGTTTTCATTAAATTCCTGGATATGACAATTGTTGTTTGAAAGATGATGTCTCTAGTTCCCAAAATTTTGTAGAAGGTGCATTTGGATTTTGCAGGTGCATTTGGATATCATGATAATTCAGGGTTCTAAAGAATGTCCCTATATTTTGGACAAGTCTGTCGAAACTGGCTGATTGCTCCCATTTATAGTGGGATATGCTAAACAGACTCTGAACCTTTGCTTCCTGGGTTGCTTAGTATGATATCACACTCGACAGGTGATGGAATTTAGGCTTATTTATCCTTGAACAAGCCAGAAAGGGAAAAAAGCAGAGAACAAGCTGGGTTCTTAGTAAATTGAAGGCCCATGATTGTCTTTAGCTGCTCCTTCTAGAAGCAGTAGGGATCATCCAGTGTGGTTAACATGACTGAAAAGCCAGGGCTTCCTCTGTACCTTGAGTTGTTGTGATGTACAATCAAGTGTAAAAAGCCCCAGGTATTTATTATTTATTTAGCTGTTGCTGATACATTTTTCTGAGTCAAAGGTTTTCAGTCTTGGTCTTCCAGATATTTTGCATGCCAGTTTCCAGAATATTTTTGCATTAGCTATGCTAGCAAGGGCTTTAAGGACTTGAAGTCCACAATACCTGGAGAGTGAAGGTTGAAAACTCCTGGTCAAATTGGTCATACTACTCTCGCCAGTTCTGAGAGTTGTAATCCAAAAGACTAACCCTGACAAAGTCTTACCCTGATCCTTCTCTTATGATATATCAGCTAATTTTAAAAGGTATTTATTGACACAGCATATCTGTTGTAGTGAAAATCGCTAGGGTGATCACCAAAATTAAGTAGAGTACTTCAGAATTGAGTAAGCAGCAGAAAACACAGTGTTTTATATTCATGTCTTGGTCAAGTGATTACTTGTATGCAACATCCAGGCTGGTCATAGACTCTAATCATTGCTTTCAAGTAGCTTAGGGACAAAATCCATGGATGCACTTTTAAAAATTACCATGCTAATTTCATGAGTTCTTCCACCAGATGGCAACACCTACCTAAAAATCTCATCTCATCTCTCTCTCTTTCCCTTTCTCTCTCTCTCTCTCTCTCCTTTTCACCTACCTCTTTCCTTCCCCAGTTCCCAGAAATGAATGACATGACGAGAGAGAAAGTAACTGGAAGGAAAGATGACCTAGCCTTTTTTCTTATCCAAAATGCTGGCTTGCTGACAGGATTTACTGCCATCCTGCTGATCACCCTTTATGCTGGAGACATTGTACTGGAATAATGTAATAATGGAGATATGACAATGAAGACATTTGGTAAATTAAAAATGGAAGAACTCTTGAACTCCACAAAGGGACTTCGGAAGACATAAAAGGATTTGATACGGCACTCTATTTCCTTTGGCCATTTGAAGCTATGTTTTTAAAGATCACCCAGCCAGTTCTAGGACACAGTTTCCTAGTGTGTTAGGAGCCATCACTTTTACAAGACTCCAGTGACAGACAATGCGGGAGCCTCTGAGATTTTGACTGCAAAATCTGCCCTGTTAATTTCAATAGAAGCAGCACGTCCATCTATGCACATCACACTGGGACATTTATTTTCCTCAACTGAGAAATCACCGCAGTGCCTTAAAAGAGGGCATTGCCTTCATCCTAAGTGGTGTTAAGTGCTAGGCAGAAATGCAATTAAGAGGCAGGCTAAAATAAATTCAACTTATAAAGCTATGTATGTTTGTTCAGAAAGACGTTCCACTAGATCAGTGGTTCTTGCGCCGATACAAGTATGCACAGAAGTCAGGCCTCACTGAACAGGTTTATGTTCAGGAGGAGACTCTGAAGCAAATGATATGCACTGTCACATGTGTGCCAATGATGCAGAAAGTGTGTGGGAAGATTTTTTTCCCCTCCCTCTTACTTTTATGGATGCAGATGAAAGAATCTCACTTACTCTCATTGATTACAATGGATCAGAAATCAACTACGGTGTGAAAGTCAACTGAGATGTGTCACGGGGGGAAAGGAGGCTTTGGAACCTTCAGGTCTACAGTCTCTCCCAGTATACTCCAGAAAACCTCCTTTTCCCAGTAGAGGCTGGTGCCCATTGTGATTGGTGGGGTGGAAGGCACAGCAGCCACTGATGGACTGAGACAGGGTCACAAACAGATCTCTGGGCATATGCACACAATTGAAGGCAGGCAGGCATTCATTCCAACTCCATGTCACCTTATTTATTCCCTCCCTTATGCAGTTGATGAGCAGAAAAATAATCTTGTCCCTCAAGCCAGAAGTGTTGCATTTACCTTCTGCTTACCATTTCTCTATCCTCCTCTCATTCACACAGACTCAAAGTATGGGAGGCTGGGAATTCAGGAAAAGCAGACAAATGAGACCCGAATTCTTGACTTCTGGAAAGGAAGCAGGCAGGAGTGGGCTGACCAAATGAAAACTAATCTGAAAGAGGTGAAGCAATGTCCTGTTTGCCTTAATGGGTCATCCTATAGTGCCTCCCCCAACCCCTTGGTCAACTACAAGAGAACAATATTAGCTGGAGACTCTTTTGCAGTTCCATAAGAGAGGGTGGATTTTCTCCTCCACCCTCAGATAGAGAAACCCAAACTTTCTTGGACACCCTTTTAAGGACCATAGGATTTCAATATGAGTATTTTAGAATATCAGCAGCTTATTGTCAACAGGATTTCCACTGTCAAAGTTGAAGAATTAAGCAAAATCTGGAGGGGGGTAGAAATATCTCCTAACCGTAGCCCCTCTAAAGCCCCCAAATCCATTCTGTGATACTGGGAAACAGTTTCAAAATATACTTTAGGGGCAGTAATATATAAAAAAATCAAACTAGCTTCAGCACATTTACATAAATGATGCTAAAATTCCAGTTACTGATTAATACAGGATTAATTATACCACTTACTGCTTTTGATCTTTCTCTTTCAAGGGGACTGTGGGAGTAGCAAGTTTTAATAAGCGAAGGACCTGATGCTAACATTTCAACAGTTTCTTAGATGTGTAATGCTTACAAGTCCTTGGCCTTTTAAAAAGGAGGACAACATTTAAAGCATGCTAATATCACGGTGTACAATTATTTTTATAATTGATGAAACAGGGATGAAGCACATTCCCCTTTTGTTGCAACTCAACTTTTTAAAGCTTACTTGAGATACGAACTATAGATATGAATGGAACTGGAGTAGAAGCCGAGTTTGAGTGAACTGCACACTTAGACGTAACCAGACCTATTGACAGTTGCTGGATATGAAGCTTCCATACAAACAAAGCCCAATATATTTGATGTCTGAGATCAAGCACAGAATAGTTTCCTTTCTCATTCCATTTACAAGTAACAATGAACTGGTACCTCAACCTTTCTTCAGCACTGATGATAGAAGAGCATCCTTTACTGTATTTGAAGGTAAATTATGGGGTAGATGTGCTACATGGCACACAGTTCTCTCTAGCATCTTCCTGCTACTTCTCAGTATCTGCCGTCTTCAGGTGGCCACTTCATTCTTCTTGTTTGCAGGGCTGGTCCCATCCTCGTGTGTGTACGTAGCTCCATAGGAATTGTGCATTAATATGAATGGAGAGTAGAGCTCCCCATCTACAGACTGAACTGGGGAGCGCATAGGAAAGAGTATCATGTAGATATTCAAGTGGACATATAGCCTAGGTCTGAGATCTTAATCAAGATTACTAATACAATATGCTGTTTTTTCCTGTACAGAAATGCAAAGTTCCTTTCAACATAATCAGTCCATTGCACCATGTTGGCCAATGTTCTGTCTTTACTAGCCAGGCTACCTGAAATGTCTTAAGCCAGGGCTTAGAAAGGGTGATCCTACCAATGTTGTTAGACTCAGATTCCCATCAACCCCAGCCAGTCTGGCCAAGAGTGGAGAATGATAGTAGTAGTAGTTCATCAACATCTGGAGGCCCACAGGCATTCCTAGTTTAATCCTTGGATAATGAAACCTGGAGGTCGCTCACTCATAAGGCCACATTGTCAGAGGTGAATTGATGGCATGTAACAACTGCATTGAATCTGGACTATAAATGAGTACAATGCTCATACTATGTCTGAAAATGAGATTCTTTATTTGTCCCTGCCTATCATATATGCAGAATTTTTATATGGAGATAAATTCTAGTAAGAAGAATACATTGCATTTTTGCATTCATTTTTACACATCTGGTTCTACATTTTGATGGACATGAATTCTTCATGCCATAATTTAGTTTACGTCAGTTCTATATTCCTCTTACTCAAAAACCTATGCATATACTTTCCCCGCCTTCAAATAACAGACATACAGCTGACTTGATGCTGCAGGCAGGAATAGGAAAGAAAAAAAATGTGTTTTCTGTTCTACTACAAAACTAATGACTTCACAGCTTTGAACATATTGGTGCTCACACTTCTCTTCCTGCTTTTTGAGCAGCAGCTAGACCCATCTTCATTTATTGTCAAAATGTTTCCTGTGAAGCAATAAAATGAGTTTCCTGTACATTCACATTGTCTTCTTTTGGTGGAAAAAGAATCCCTCAACAAAAAAGTAAATAAAATATTTCTCGTGCAAAAACAAAAAAAACCTGCAAGTACAGTATGTGCACAAGGGTAGCCAGATGAAAAAGTGAAGGTTTTTGTACTTCTAACAGCTATACACAAGAGGATATTCCAGCTGTTGTAGCTTGTCATCATCCACACCACACCTGCTGAAATTTCTTGCACCACACAGTTAATATACAGGAGTTGTGTCCTCTTTTTCATGTCCCCTAAATGGGCTTTAATTTGTGCTGATACTGCAAAATTCTGCATCATACAAATACAGTAGGCTCCTATATCTGTTGAGAAGTATGTACAACTGACTTGTGCGATTTACGTCTGGGTAATTAAGTATAGCATTCCGACCGAAATGCCCATGATTGTGAGCTAGCGTGGGCATAGAAATCCAAGGTTCCTAAACTATAGTTCAGACCAATATGCTTGCCTTCCTGTTTGCCTTCTCATTTTGTACCATCAGTTTCAGCATGTCAGTCTTGGCCAATTGGTTTTATAGCGTGGAACGCTTAATTTCCTATTCAGGATTTTAAACCATGGTTTGATCTTAGTAAACCAGTCGATTCCAAAATCGTGGCCTAGGATATAGTACCAATGGCCTGTGGTCTAAGTAGGGTGTGTGTGTGTGGAAGGTACCTCTTTGGTTTCTCTCAAGGATAGGGAAAAAGGCTGAGTTTCATTGGAACCAGAAGTTCTTGCTGAACCAATAGAACAAAAACTTCCTTTCCTTCCCAGATTTCACTGCCCTGCCTCTCTACTGGGCCAGCAAAATCTTTCTCTTCTCCATTTACTCACCTAGAGCATCCTTTGTGTATCGCAACAATGGGCAAAGTGCGATGCAGAAGCTGCATGTAGTCCCTGTGCTCCCTCCATGCCCCAAACAGTCATTTCCTGTTTTGGAGAAAGACTTTTTCTGGCCTAAAACAGTCCTGTGGGAGAGATACAAACAGCTACCTTCCACCAGCTTTGGGGATACTAATTGTCATTCTGAGATCAAAAAGTTTTGCAGCGGTTGTCTAGTTTCCAAAGGTCCAGAGGAGGGCAAAAACAGCCCTCAGAACCCAAACAGTTGTCCACCCCGGCATATTGTAATGCTCCAATATTAGTCCAATATTTCTGATCTGCTCCTTCAAGAATTATACTTTTGATCCTTGGAAGAAACTGAAACTTCTGATTGTATCACTCTTGTATTTCTGGCTGTCTGCTTCAAGAATCTGAAATAACCTCAGAACTTTTCAAAAAAAGTGAGAAGCCCCAGTGGATTTTGTAGGATAGATTAAAGAGTGTTAATGAGTTCTTGTAAAACTCTAGTGGGTAGTGAAATTCTAATTGCTGTTGGCTTGATTATATTTTCAGAACTGAAGCTACATTCTTGTGTGTGGTCTTCTGTACTTTATAAAGTTTCAGAAGTTCCTGTATGTAGGAAAATTCAAGCGTGGGGTTTCAAAAATGTTATTTCATCAGAGTCATTGCAAAGTCCTTCAGTGGGTCCTCAACCTTAATCCCTACAGAATACTGACGGTGGTGGTTTACAACTATTTTGTATTGATTCTCCATTTCAGCGGTGCAATGAAGTATGACCATGTTTACAGCAATTAGTCTCTAATTGGTTCTCCTGAAGTCACAGCCCTTCCCTGATAATATGAGTTATGGTAGGAAGGAGAGCAGTGATGTTGGAATATGATAAATGTGGCTTCTCTTTCTGAATACAGAAGGAGTCTCATACTTTGTATCCATACACAGTTGCATAATGAGCCTGCTTAAGCATACAGTTTGTTTATGCTGCAAATATTAGGGGTACACCAATACTGTATTTAGGATCCCCAAATTTGAACCAATGGTAAGAGAATGTGTGCAGGGATATTGAATTTTGCTCTCACAAGATGTCTCACAAGATTATATGTGAACTCTGAATTTTGCTATCCCAGATCTGCTAGAATGAAATTAAAGAAGCAGCAAGACTTTCCAGTAGAGATGAGATTTTATATATCTTGTAATTTTTAGTAGAAGGCTTAGCTGTAAGCATACCGGCTGGGTCCAGGCCTGGAGTGCTTCCAGAACTGGAGAGAAAACTCCCAGTGCTACCAATTAAGAACCATAATAAACATAATAATCAGCATTGTTCAGCTATTCTCTCTTTCCTTTCTAACTAATT